AAAAAAAAAAAAAAAAAGTTTAGCTTGAGCCTCACTTGGATCAGCTGGAGGGAGAAGGCACTAGATTCTTCTTTCGAACCTCTCAGAAAGGAATGCAGCCTTACAGACAGTTTGATTTTAGCCTTCTAAGACCCACGTTAGCCTTCTAACTACAAAACTATAAGGCGACCACTACAAACATTAAAATGCCAAGATTGCTAGGAAAATAGAATAGGAGGATCTCAAGCTCACTTCGTTCCCTGGTCCCATTGGAGCAACTAAGTCAGAAAATGACCCGAAGCCTGGCATTATAGACTTTCCACAGTTAATCATAGAGAGGAGGCCACATGGAAAAGGGTAAGAGGGGCAGAGTCCCAGTGGGGAACCAAACTTTCCAGGAAACTAACCACACAGGGGAGAGACACCACATGCATGTAGGCAGAGGAGCAGACCCCACAGCAGGCACCCTGGACACAGGGACCTGCACTGGAAAGAGTCACCATAATATCTGGCTTTGAAAACAAAACAAAAAGCCAATCTACTGAATGGGAGAAGATATTTGTATAGGTAATATGTCCAATAAGGGCTTAGTATCCAAAATATATAAAGAATGGATAACTCAACACCAAAAAACAAATAAGAAAAAACTGAGCCTGGCTGGCTCAGTCAGTGGAACATGCGACTCTTGATCTCAGAGTCGTGAGCTCAAGCCCCACACTGGGGGTAGAATTTACTTAAAGACGAAACAAACAAAAACCAATAATCCAATTAAAAATGGGCAGAGGACCTACATCTCTCCAAAGAAGATATATATCAAAACCACAAGGAGATAGCACCTCACACCTGTCAGAATAACTAAAATCAAAAAGATAAGAAACCAGTGTTGGCAAGGATGTGGACAAGAAGGAACCCTCGTATAGTGTTGGTCAGAAGGCAAACTGGCATAAACACTATGGAAAAAAATTAAAGATAGAATTTTTAATTCTCAAAATTAAATTTTAATTTAAAATTTTAAATTTAAAAAAATTTAAGAAACCTTAAAATTCAAAAATTCAAAAAATTAAAAATAGAATTACCATATGGTCCAATAATTTCACTATTGGGTATTTACCCAAAGAATACAAAAACATTAATTTGAAAAAGATACACACACCCCTATATTTATTGCAGCATTATTTATAATAGCTAAGATATGGAAGCAATCCAAGTGTCCATCAATAGATGAATGGATAAAGAAGTTGTATATATCTACAAGGATTATTACTCAACCATAAAAAGGAACAAAAGCTTGCCATCTGCAACAACACGGATGGATCTAGAGGGGATGATGCTAAATGAAGTAAGTCAGAGAAAAACAAATACCCTATGATTTCCCTCCGTGTAGAATTTAAGGAACAAAACCAACAAAGAAAAAGAGACAAAAAAAACCACATCAGACTCAAATACAGAGAACCAGCTGTTACCAGAGAGGAAGTTGATGGAGGGATGGGTGCAATGGGTCAAGGGGATCAGAAATACTTATCGTGATGAGCACTGACCAACATATAATATAGAATTGCTGAATCCTTATATGGTACACCTGAAACTAATCTAACACTGCAGGTTAGAGTTCAATAAAAAAGGTTAAAATGGCAGATTTTATGTTACATATATTTTATCACAAATTTTTAAAAGTTTGTAATGTAATATACTGAATAGCACTGAATCACACACTTTAAATGGTTATATTGCATGGTTGTCAATTCTGTCTCCATAAAGCCTTTAAAAAAAATCTGTTCACAAAATGTCAAAATCCATACCTTTTTAAGTGAAAGATAATTACTTTTGGTGCTTTGGAAATACTGGCCCTCACTGCTGTTTCTTGCTTGGTTTCACAGAAGGAACAGTGGATTTGGTTATGCCAGGTCAGTGTATCTTGTTGAAAAAAACACTGGAGACAGTCCTGTTGAGGAAAAAAAGCACTGGGTAACCAAACTGGATGGACCACAGCCAGGCTCTCTGTTTTCAGAAGAACTTTGCAAGAGTTGTAGAAATGTAATCCTCAGCACTTTCCTCAAAGTCAACATATCCAGGAGGTACCAGTGTCTCAAGCTGCTGCCTGGATAGGTGCAAAATCTACCCGACAAAGGAAATGCTTCTTTCTTGCTTAGTTACTGAAATGGATCCAAGTGCCCATCTCACTTCCAATCTCTGGATCTGCATTTTAACCTTTCTGGTTTATAACAGAATAATACTGACTGTGCAAATTCCACTAAGCAAGTCAGGCAGCTGTTTTATGTGATTCATCTCATCACAAAAGTGATCTGGAGACTGAAAAATTACACTGCCCACTGTTTTGGATAATAAAGACCACAGAACACCCCGAATTAGATCCCATGCCCACCGGGGCCACCCTCAATGGAACCGGCACCCCTGCTCTGCAAACCATTAACCTAAAGAGAAAGATGAGCAGATTCTCTTTTCAGCAGACTTGCCAGCACCTCATTTAGAGTCTTCAAAATCTGTTTCCAGTAATCTTTAGCAGTTTGATCTGAGAACAAAGCCCAGTTCTAAGTAAGTGGTAGGATTCTGTTCTCCAATTTGGTATGTGAAAACTTTTAGCAATAAATGTGCTTTCATAATTTAGGTAGAAAAAAAATAAATGTGTATTTTTCTGCAAGGGAATGTATTCGTCCCTGCCTTCTAGCTGTCCCCTGCTTTCTATCACTATCCTTCCCCCTACCGTTTACAGATTAATTTTTGGTATTATGGTGAAGAAAATTCAAAAGGTAAACTAAGGCACTATATTCCATTCTATCTTTCCAACATATGCCACACAGCTTCCGTCCAAACACAAGAACTCAAAACCAAGTCAGAATCTTCTATATATAGTTACCAACCTGGATCTACAGACCTCAAGGGTGAGGAAGGGTCACAAAATTTTTGCAAGAATGTATGAATTCCCTATATGCACCAAGCCATCTCAGCAGAATGAATAAACCCTACCTGTCATTCCAATTTCACAACGAGGCTGTTTTATTGAGTACATTGGGAAATACAACTGAATTCATGCTAACTTTTGGCTGTATGTCACTTTCCTATCAAATGTTGTCATCATGGGCTTCCAATTTGTTTTAACTTACAAAGCAGCCCCCATCATAATAGAAAATGTAGGCAACAGCCCTGAGAAGTGGGATCCAGGAGGAACCACACCTACCTGAAGAGAGCACTTGTAATCGGATGGAATGGGGAGGCAAAGAATGGTGAAGACTTCATTCTTGTAGGTGCAGTTCTCACACTTCAAACACATGATGCTATAGTTGAGCTGCCCTTCAAACAGCTGGGTGATGATGGAGACCTCATTGGCAATTGTCTTCCTGCAGCACCTTGGAATAGATCCTTTTTCATATGATTTTCGATGGCACTGAGTCAAGGAACAAATTAGCCCTGAATCAACTACTGGTTATTTGAAAAAAAAAAAAAAGTTTTTAATACAATGACTTGATTTTTTTCTATCACAATGATACATTGCTACCAAAAACCACTTAGTTTTGGATTCCGACAATAGAGTAAGCTCTTCTTAAGAGTATCTATTAGGTGTGATATCTGATAATTCAGTTATTTTCCTCATAAATGACACCTAGCAATGATGACTCCCTACCCCTGGTAAGACACATGGCCGTGCCCCAGAAGCTGACAGCCTACAAAAGTATGAGACAGGGTCTGGGGGACAGTACTTCTTGGGAAGAGGGTAAGGAAGCTTGCGAACTAGCTTTCAGTCATGCAAACTGATATAAAGGTAAAATAAAGAAATTGACCTCTTCTCCAGCCCCTTCAGATTATGGCAGCCTGATTTAACTAACCTTACAGCCCAATTTGAATCTAGCTCATACTGAGAAGTAGCATTTCTGGGAGCACAGCCTGACTTGTTAGCAGTTTTAGGGCCTCAGTAGAATATACCTTTGGAAGATGCATTGACTCCACGGCCAGCTTCACTTCAGAGCTGCGCGCGCTGCTCTCCTTTGCCTTGCTGCTTTTATTACGCCCTGCTGCCAAGGTCTTCTACCTGATGGTAATTTAATGTCCCTAATTCCAACTTTGGGCTCGGGAACAAGAATGCTATTTATTTCAGATTGGCTGCAGATGAGGACCTAAGTGATTTTACTGACCACCACCCTCCCCTCTGTCAAAAAAAAAAAAAAAAAGTGCCGCCAGGTATATCTTATTAGAAAAAATGAAAAAAGGAACTGAGGATTGCAGATGAGAGTGATTAATGGCTATAGTTTGTGATCTCTGATATTAAGTATTTCTTTAATGTTAAGGATATTAACTTTGAAGTAAGCTAACGCCGGCACAAGGACACTGCATAAAACCAAGGACCTATCTTTGTGGAGTATGCGTCTCAGATCAAGGCTGAAGGCAGTGGGTCTCACAGATAAGGGCAAAACCCTTCGTTACTGGCGATCTCATGTTTTATTAAATGTATGTCCTGATCCAGTAAATAACTCTGGTTTGGAATGCTTGGCATGAAGATGAAACAGCAGTATTTAGATCTTTTAATTCCGAGCTTAACATTTTCTTGGGTTTGTAGTTACCAAGAACACGTACTTTAAGTTGTAAAGCTCTATATGTTATACCTCATGAGGACTATATTTGTATAAAAATGCAATTTTCACTTTAGAAAACTAGTCCGTGCAGATGTTATTTGCAAAGGGAACCGATTAGCGTTTCCCGCACCTGCTGATCACTGGAAACACCAAGTGAGCTTTACTAAAGGACAGCCCGAGAAGTTTTAATTCAATAACGCTGGAGTGAGGGTCTTAGAATCTGTGGTGTAAAACTCTTCCCAGGTGATTCTGATGATTCACTAAGTTTGGTAAATACAGACCAATTCAAACACTAACTTGAACGTCCCCCTACACATCCCCCAGCACCTGTGCTCAACACAGAGTGGGCAATATTGACAGAAGAAATGAAAGAATGAAAAATGAAAGTAGCCCATAGAGCTGAGGTCTACCTTATTTCAAGTCCATTGATGTCACTTACCTTTTTCAGAGACTCATGAAGCTCATTCAGTACATAAATCAAGAATTCCTGGGCATCTTGTTGCGTTTTTTTCATGAATGCTGGGTAGAGGTTGCCAAAAGCTGACCGAAATATTTCTGGCGAGACGCATTCTGAGTCTCCAAGCCACATATCTGTCATCACGTAGGCAAACGCAGTGGCAACCTCACTGCAATCCCTTGGAAGAAGGAAGGAGAATATTTCTGGCTGATTTAATGAAAGGAAAGCACCTAAAAACTCAAGCATACGTGGCATCAGACTGAAAACAAAGCTCTGTTCTTGGTTGAACTTCCGGTCTCTGGGGCTCTGTGGCCTCTACTGACTTGTTTAGCCCTCATTAGGGACTTCAGAGGGCTCCCTCCCTCACCTCCCCTTGGGGAAGCAGGGGGCGGGGGCTGGGCGGCAGAGAACGCAAATGGCTTACTTTTGAAGAGCAGTAATGTACTTTCCTGAGAGAAAGTATTCCACCAGCGGTGAAATGCTGCAGAGACACTGGAGAATGGCGTTCATGTAACACGTGTTGCCCAAGTTCCGCAGGCCTGTCACTCCCTGGGAATGGGGCTGGTTCTCCTCCACCTCCTTGACTGGAGAGCTGTCATAGTGATCTGTGCACTCTGCGCTGTGTTGGGGCCATGCAGAGAGAAATGAGAGCATTTTGAGGGTATAAAATATGTGAAAGTGACAACAAATCACTCTCAAGCTCATGATACAAAGAAGAGTCCTCAATGAGACTTCTATCAAATACATTCCCTACCCAGAAAAGAAGTACTCAAACTCAAGGTCTAAAATTGCATTACTTATTCTGGAACTCTGAACAGTGCCTGCAGCCAAATAAAGGGAGGTAGAAGATTCTTCCTGAAACCAGATCAAGAGGACAGAAATAACGGCCTTTCAGAGACCTAGAATTGCTTGGCTAAAACTGCACTTTCACTCTGAATACCAAAGTATTTCTTTTTTTTTTTTTTCCTCTCTGGGCCAAATAATTTAATGATTTGTAGTAACAATAATGGCAATAGATAGTAGTTAATAAAAACAATAGCTATCATGTATTGAGCCTCGCCAGTTGTTAATATGCATTTTCCCATTTAATCCTTTCTATGGGGTAGGTATACTTATTTAAAAAAAATTTTTTTTAATGTTTATTTATTTTTGAGAGAGAGACAGGGCATGAGCAGGGGAGGGGCAGAGCAAGAGGGAGACACAGAATCTGAAGCAGGCTCCAGGCTCTGAGCTGTCAGCACAGAGCCCGATGCGGGGCTCAAACTCACCAGCCAGGAGGAGATCATGACCTGAGCCGAGGTCAGATGCTCAACTGAGCCACCCAGGCGCCCCCAGGTGTGCCCTGTTTTTAAATCCTGTTTTACAGAGGAAATATCACATTTAAGTGGTTTAGTCATTTGCCTATGATATAAGTATGTGCAGTGGTATGTGGAGAGAAGGAATACCTATCTACGTACCTACCTACCTGAGTTATTTGGATTTATATATCATATATTAAGAGAGTGTATGTGTACACATACATATATATGGCATATGTACATATTGAGAGCATATACACATGCTAAAGATATCAACATTAAGAGCACATATATGTGTGTATAATATGTATGTGTGTGTATGTATTCATATAAACACACATATACACAGAGAGAGAAAGAGCATAGGCTTTGTAAAGAACAGATCTTAGTTTAAGTCCTGACTCTGCCAGTTTCTAGTTACACAATGTGGGACACTTATATCTGTGTCTCATCTATAAAATAGGATCAATGCTACCATGTAGGGTTGTTGGGAGGATTAGATTAAATGATGTGAGGCACATGGCACAGATTGCATAGTTAATAAGTGGCAACCTAAAAATATTTTTGAACAAGTGACTGATGTAGGCTGTTCCTAACAGTAAGTGTATAGAATTCGAGAATTCATGTGCACAGACAGCCCAGCACAGAGGAGAGAACAGGTTCCCAGGGAGTCCTCCTCTCTCCACACAAGCTTCCTTTTGTAATTTGACTATTGCTCACGGCAGCCCAGCATCTTTGTCCTTTATGATTTTTCTTCCCGTGTACAGTATCTAAAATTGGGTCTCCATGAGACAGTTACCTCACCTCAGTACCTCCATTTACAATTCTGCCAGTTAGAAAAGTGTTCACTATTACATGATGTTCATTTCATGTTTATTGACTGGGGTCATCGGAGGCCCTGGACGGCCCCTCTTTAGGAATATCTATTGCCTAGATATTAAACAACATCTTCCCTTCCTTTTGTGGGCCCTCCACTGGGTCAAACCTGGGGGAACCCTTCCAAAGGTGGCATGTATCCCCGACTCCTTTGACATGCCCCGCCCCCCAAATGAACTTATCGAGAAAGCTATCGTAGATAGTGGCTCACAGGACATAGTAGATACTGAAGTCATCTGCAGGGCAGGGCCGCTCTGAAGCCATTTTAGTGCATCTACGTTGGACTTTCACTTCTATTCAGGGACTACATCTAATCCTTTTAACTTCATTTCTCTGAGCCTGTTACTTTAGCTCTTTTTGTTTGTAATAAACAATTTGTATGTTTCCCTCCCTTTTCAGTAGATGCAAACTGATTTTTATCTGTACTTCAGGTACATTCCAACTTAGATTTTCCATACATCATAATCATTTCCATTCACCCTCAGGATTCTAGCATGTTGCCATGAGATACTGTTACTCAGCTGCTTAAAAACTTTAAAAACATTAGATTTCAGAGAATGAACTGAACATATAAGCTCTATTCCCCCATCACTCAGTTTCTCTTTTGTGTGTGTGTGTGTGTAATATATATCTTATATATTATCTCTTGTGCATGTGTGTGTGTGTAATATATATAAGATACATCATATATATGTATAAGATAGATCATACATATATTATATATATGTATGATCTATCTTATACACATACAGAGAAGATGTGTGTGTGTGTAATATATATCTTATATATCTTATATATTATCTCGTGTGTGTGTATGTAATATATATCTTATATATATATAAGATAAATCATATATATGATAGATCATATATAGATCTAAGATAGATATATATAAGATATATATATGAGGGGCGCCTGGGTGGCGCAGTCGGTTAAGCGTCCGACTTCAACCAGGTCACGATCTCACGGTCTGTGAGTTCGAGCCCCGCGTCGGGCTCTGGGCTGATGGCTCAGAGCCTGGAGCCTGTTTCCGATTCTGTGTCTCCCTCTCTCTCTGCCCCTCGCCCGTTCATGCTCTGTCTCTCTCTGTCCCAAAAATAAATAAACGTTGAAAAAAAAAAATTAAAAAAAAAAAAAAAGATATATATATGATCTAAGATAGATCATATATAAGATATATATATATGATCTATCTTATACACATACACAGAAGATTTACCTCCATAGAGTCCATTATGGCAACTCTGCCTCCTTTTGGTGCCCATCCCCATTCCCAGGGATCACATCACTCCTAGATCCCAAGGGAATATTTCTCACCCTGGGAAGGGAGGCAGTTGGACTTTGCTGCTTCTAAAAATGGATAGCATTGGGATAGACTGGAGTCTTTCTTTTTGTGGTCACCAACTACAGTCCAAAGAGGGTGCAGACATACATATACACCCCACTAAGGCCACCCAGGGCAAATATAAAGTGTTCATCATAGAAGGATTTATAAACTGAGGGGCAGCAAAGCTCACAATCTTCCAAGCTCTCAACCCATTGTCTTCATAGAGAGCCATTCTTAAGAAACCCTTCAGTAGGGGCGCCTGGGTGGCTCAGTCGGTTAAGTGTCCAACTTTGGCTCAGGTCATGATCTTGCAGTTTGTGAGTTCAAGCCCCGCGTCGGGCTCTGTGCTGACAGCTCAGAACCTGCAGCCTGTTTCGGATTCTAGGTCTCCCTCTCTCTCTGACCCTCCCCCGTTCATGCTCTGTCTCTCTCTGTCTCAAAAATAAATAAACGTTAAAAAAAAAAAAAAA